CGAGTTGTCGAAGGGATCAGGTATCAGGATCAAAGAACAAAAAATCATATCACTGTGAATGAGAGGGAGTGTGGAATGGGGACCCAAAGTTCATCTGTAGGCAGATGGACATCCCCTTATGGAAGCGTCATGGGGAGGAGATGAGCCAGTCAGGGTGCAGTGTAGCAATGGTGAAACATACAACTTTCCTCTAGTTCCTAAATGCTTCCTCCCTCACTATCATAATCCTAATTCTACTTTACAAATCCAGCTAGACCAGAGGGTGTACACTGGTACAGATAGGAACTTGAAACACAGGGAATCCAGGACAGATGATCCCTTCAGGGCCAGTGGTGAGGGTGGAGGGAAGGTGGGGTAGAAAAGGGGAACTGATTATACAGATCTACATATAACGTCCTCCCTGGGGCATGGACAACAGAAAAGTGGGTGGAGGGAGACGTTGGACAGTGTAAGACATGACAAAATAATAATAATTTATAAATTATCAAGGGTTCATGAGGGAAGGGGATGGGAAGGAGGGGAAAAATGAACGGATACCAAGGGCTCAAGTAGAAAGCAAACGTTTTGAGAATGATGATGGCAACAAACGTACAAATGTGCTTGACACAATGGATGGATGTATGGATTGTGATAAGAGTTGTATGAGCCTCCAATAAAATGATTTAAAATAAAAATATAAAAAAGAAAAATAATCAATATTTATTTAGAAAAACTAGATGTCACTATAGAATTTCTTAGGACATACCGTATTCTGCAACCACATATCTATACATTTAATCCAACAACAACTCTCTGTGGTAGATATTATTTTCACAGATAAGAAAATGGAAGCAGAGAGAAGTTAAATAATTTACTCAAGGTCACATAATTAAACATAAATTTTGTGACTTTGGACTCATGCTATTAATCTTTATATTGTGCTGCTTACTCTGGGTTCAGCATGAGGGAAAGTATTTCACAGATTTTTAAAAAATCCTGCAAACATCTGAAATACCTATCATTATCATTTATATAAAATAAACGGATAAGTATATATAATAAAACTCTAAATTAAAGATTATCTATAGGCACAGAAATCCTAACTATCAAGGCATTGGCCCTTCTATGACTTCAGGGAGTTAAAGAATGTGACTAGGAGGGGAAGTCTAACTTTATTGAGCTCCTATCATGTTTCAGGTACTTTACATGTATTATTTAATCCTGTCAACAATCCCGTGAGGTCTCTGAATTCCATTTTACATATTAGGAGCGTATGATTCAAAGCCCCTTGCTGGCGGTGTAGGAGTTTATTTGTTGGGTGGCTAACAACAAGGTCAGCATTCCAGCCACCTGCAGCTTTGCCAGGGACAGCGGAGGCTTTCCACACCCGTACAAAGCTCCAGTCTTAGAAACCCACACAGGTATTTCCCCCCATAGAGTTGCTGAGTCAGAATGGACTCCAGAGTAGTGAGTTTGGGGTTTTATTTCTGTTTGTTTGTTTTAAGGCTCAAGGAAGTTAAGTGATCCAAGATTACATGACTGAAATGACAAGATTACATTACAAGCCTGCAGCTTTCTTTTGTATAACAGTGTAACATAATGGGGAAAAAAGTAGAGACTTTGGGGAAGAAGTCATGGAGAAAAAAATGTGTGTAAGGGTATCATGATGCATCTGTCATGTAAATTTTCTAGTAAAATTCTACCTTATGAGTTAATCAGACAAACCCTTTTCTTTCCTCCGTCCCATTTTTCTTTTCTCTTGTATCTCTTTGGGTCTCTTGGGCTGCTGCCTCAGAGCCATCCCAAAGGGTCAGAAGGAGGAGGGTAAAGTGAGAACCAAGGGAGGGAGGTTCAGGATAAAAGAAGTCTTTCCTGGTGTGGCAGAGTTCTCTGACCATGGAGAAAGAAAAGGGGGAATCTCTGTAGCATCTTTCTTTGTCCCAACGCTTCAGGTTTCTTATACACAACCCCATCAGTCCTCTCTTATCCAGCCTCGCTGTTTCAGGAGGCCCTTGAATCAAAGACACCAGAATAAAGTAGGTAGATTCTGTTTTCTTCTGTATCCCTCTTCATGTGTTAGTTCTACCACATTATCTCTGCTATTATTTCACACTTGGTATTTCTATTTTTATGTAAAACCAGAAAAATATCCAGTGCCATTGAGTCAATTCTGGCACATAGGAACTTTATAGGATTTCCTAGATTGTAAATATTTACTACAGTAGACAGCCTCATCTTTTTCCTGTGGAGCAGGTGGTGGGTTTGAGCTACTGACGTTAGAATTAGCAGCCTAAGGCCCAACTCACAGTGCCACTAGGGCCTTCATATTCCTATATACACATCACAAAAACACAACTCTTATCAATATTTTTGGCATCTAGTCCATTCTATTGGTAGTTAGACTGCTATCAGTTTACTTATGTTTTTTGTTTGTGCCTCATTTCTTTATTCATACTTTGCTGCTGTCATCCCACCCCCCTACCCCCCACCCCCGCCATCCCCTGCTACAGCTTTCTGATTTCCCATTTCTTGTCTATTTTCTCCATATTCACCTTATCTCCCCCTACTCTCCTTTCATTGAATACATTGTCCACGACATATGTTCATCCTTCCTAAACAGCATTCATCTCACCCATAGATGTTTAATCTCCCAGAGTTAAATTTAACTGTCTTATATTTTATCATGCACCCGTGTATCTACTCATTCATTTTCATTCAATGTCGCTATTCCCTATATATCATTACAATTCTGTCAAAATTTCTGGTGATCCATTTCCAGTCACTATTCCTGATCATTTTCACCCACATTCTTTTTCATTCTGCCCTCTTTATGTTTCAATCATAGTCTCTACAATTCAACTCTTTTGTCCATTAACACTTTTCATTACCGTTTACCACCCATTTAGGAAAGATCCAACTATCACAACATCATTACTGATGCATTACTATAAGTACATCCTAAAAGGGGAAGCACTGTCAAAAGGGGAGACAGCAATATTAGTAGGCAATCTGATCATGTCTACAGAAATAGGGGTATGTCTGAAGGAGGGATAACTAAGAATCTGAAATATGAAAGATAAATAGCAATTTTCAGGTGCAGGGGTGGGTATTCCATAGAGAAAAGTAACATAGTGACTACTAAGATATACATAGAAAAAGAAAGGCCATGTGCTATTATTAGATTTCTGTAGAATGTTGAGGGGAAAATATATTTTGATGCACTATAAAGTTTTTGGTTGTATGGATCCTATAAAACTGGATGGTCAGTTAGGAGTGATATAGTCAGATGTTTACATAGAAATCTTCTAGAATCAGGTAAAATTAGGTTGGTGAGTATTAACACTTAAGGCAAAACATCAGGTTAGAGACACTGAAATAGTTAAGCCAAGGATGAGCAAGGCTCCGATGTACAGATGAGGCAGAAGGCAGAGTAAGAGGCATCGGAGAGGAGTAAGGGGAAGATATCATAGATAATTAAAGAGACAACTAGACAGCACTTGGATTAATTGTCGATGTGTGTAGGAACGGTTACAGAAAATCTAGGAAACTTCCAAATTTTTGAGATAGATGGCTGTATGGAAACGTATACTATTAATGCTGATAGAGGAAGACTAGACACAGGATATATTTTCTCTGTCAATGTTCATCTTTTATTTCAACCTTAGAAATTGTGACAGTGATCTTGTAAGTAAAATGATATGTAGACTAGCTTTGGTCCTAAGAGGAACACCAATACGAGGTATAAACCTGAGGAGCACTGATGGCATAGTGTGTATGTGCTGGGCTGTTAACCACAGGGTCAGAAATTGTAACCTGCCAGCTACCTTGTGGGGGAAAATATGAGGCATTCAGCTCCCTTAAAAATTGACAGCCTGAGAACCGCACAGTGGGCAGCTCCACTCTGTCCACAAGGTCTCTGTGAGTTAGAACCTCTAGGCACTGAGTTGTATCAAACATGATAAGAGGAAAGGAGTGAAAGAAGGGTCACCAAAGCCTTCGGTGAGGAGCTGACACAAGAAGGCTTCGTAGGAGTTAGCTGGAGCCATGGCTGTTGTAGCATGAACAAAGCTACAGAACTTATCCACAGGCTGTGTACTGACAGGTGCAGGATGTAAAACAGGATGTAGGCTTGCCAAGAAAGGGGACTCCGCAATAACACTGGCAGATCCCAAAGTACCTATGTGTCTCATTAAGGAACTTGAATATAATTGCGGAATTGTGGAAGGAGGGTAAGCATGCATCGAAGTGTTGTCAATTCTGACTCAGAGTGATCCTACAGAACTGCCCCATTGGGTTTCCAGGGCTGTAATCCTTATGGAAGCAGACTTCCACACCTTTCATGTGCTGAGTGATTGGTGGGTTGGAACTCCCTGCATTTCAGTTAGAAAGACTAATGGTTTGACCCATTGCACTACTAAGGTGCCTTTTGGGGTTTTCAGCAGGGGAGTAAAATGATTTGATTTGAGCTTTACAGGAGGGAATATGGGCAGAAAGACCAGTTAGGAATCCCTGTATGCGAGGTTATTTTATTCATGTGCAGAGTATCAAATGTAAACATTGAGAAAAGGACTAAAGGAAGCCTTGTGGGCAGAAAGGTTAAAGGACAATGGAGAGACTGTGAGGCAAGCATTGATGAAAAGAGAAGGTTTAGGCTGTGAATGACAAGTGTAGGCTCAAGGTTCTGATTTATGTGAGATAGTGGATGGTGTAGGGATAGCCATGTCACCTTAAGCTGTCAGAGATGAGAAAATGAAGATATGTCCCTATACCTGAATGATGAGCATCTTGAAGATGGAGCACATTAATTATTGTCATCAGTACATAAAGCCATTTATGTGTGTCTACTTTTGTCTTAGCTCATTTCCAGGCTAAGAAGAATGACCCGAGACTGCTGATTAATTTTACGCACTGCATGCTATCAGTAGAACTCCGACCAAGAGAAGGGCTGGGCACGTGCTGTTGCCCCTTGAAGGTACAGTGTTTTCATTTCCTGAAAAGCAGCGGTGGACAAGCCCAAGGCCATGGAGCGGAAGAACCAGAGTGGGAGGGTGAGTGAATTTGTGTTGCTGGGCTTCCCAGCTCCTCTGCCACTTCGGGCATTGCTGTTTGCTCTTTCTCTGCTGGCCTACATCCTGGTGCTGACGGAGAACACACTCATCATCCTGGCAATTAGGACCCATCCCACTCTCCACAAGCCCATGTATTTCTTCCTGGCTAATATGTCCTTCCTGGAGATCTGGTATGTCACTGTCACAATTCCCAAGATGCTTGCTGGCTTTGTGGGGTTTGGGCAGAGCCGTGGACAGCTCATCTCCTTCGAGGGCTGCATGACACAGCTGTACTTTTTCCTCGGCCTGGGTTGCACCGAATGTGTCCTTCTGGCTGTGATGGCCTATGACCGTTATGTGGCCATTTGTCATCCTCTCCACTACCCTGTCATTGTCAGTGGCCGGCTGTGTGTGCAGATGGCAGCTGGCTCCTGGACCGGAGGTTTCGGCATCTCCATGGTCAAAGTTCTTCTCATTTCTCAACTCTCTTACTGTGGCCCCAACCTCATCAACCACTTTTTCTGTGATGTCTCCCCTTTGCTCAACCTCTCATGCACTGACATGTCCACAGCTGAGCTTACGGACTTTGTCTTGGCCATTTTTATCCTGCTGGGGCCACTCTCTGTCACCGGGGCATCCTATATGGCTATTGCTGGTGCTGTGGTGCGCATCCCCTCAGCTGCTGGACGCCACAAAGCCTTTTCCACCTGTGCCTCTCACCTTACCGTTGTCATCATCTTCTATGCAGCAAGTATCTTCATTTATGCCCGGCCGAAGGCACTCTCCACTTTTGACACCAACAAACTGGTCTCTGTGCTCTATGCCGTCATTGTACCGTTGCTCAACCCCATCATTTACTGCTTGCGCAACCAAGAAGTCAAACGAGCCCTGCGCCGCACTCTGCATCTATCCCAGGACCCAGATATTAACCCCAAGAAAGCTAATAGAGACGGATAAGAGGGAATTGCGAAGCCTTCGAAAATACTCTCATATGTTGGACCCAAGTCTTCTATGAAGTCCAGTAGATCTCTTAGAGCTTAAATTGGAAGCTATAATTTCACAGGCATCATCAAAGAACTGTGGGTAATCCTTATAACTAGTTTGGGGGGAGGAAGAAGAAGGATGAGTTGCAAAGGATTCGTTGAATTTCTGTAAGACAGTGCTGTAAAACATAACACTGTCTATGTTGTGTGCTTTATTGTAATTTATATAAAACAGATTCCACAAACCATGCATCCTGAAGGGGAAGAATAGATTGGCCATGAGCAAAAGAGACGCTAGAAATTGAATAATTTTGACACTTAGATAAGCTAAGCTAACAAATGCACAACTGGCATCATGATTTTCCAGAATATGCTCCTGCGTTTTAGTTCTGAGGCAGAAGCAGCAGAAAAGAGAAGCAGGAGGAGCCATCAAAGGAGCCTGGGCTGTGTTACGGAAACTCTTAGAGGATTTCTGAGTGGAATTCTTCTGCCGCAGGCCGCTGGCAACAGCCTGCAAATGAAACAGGGGCTAGGAGGTGATGATGCTGGGGCGCCCCAGGGAAAGGAGATGGGAGACTCGTTTCTGTGCTGGCGACTAGCTTCCCTTCCTCACTGTAAGCTCCAGGGAGACAGGGAACATATTTGCTTGTTCATCATTTTATAATCATGACCAAAAACAGTCTCCAGCACACTATGGATTTTGAGCCAGGTAAGCAAATTATATAGATTGTGTTGACAGCTACAGGAACTAGATTTCTCAGATTTAACCAAGGTCCAAATTGGCAAAGTCCAAAGTTGGAAATATATAAGGCAAACGGTAAAAATATCAAAACCTTTTTAATTCTTAAAGATTGAACAGAATAGGGATTTTATTTATAGTAATAAATTGTTGAAACAGACTGAACTTCCATGAGTAGATGATTGGTTAAATTAATTATAATTCACACATTAAGTATTCTACTATGCACACATGGCAGTGAAATGACCTAAATAGAATTGATGCCTGAAAAAAATATTTCTGCTATATAAAATGAAAAGACAAGATTAAGGGACAGTATTAAGAGTATCTTTCCTATTTATTGATTTACACAGGACTAAAAGGAATATATCTTCAAATATTAGCTGTAACTATTATAGGCCCTTACTCATATGAATTGTTTTCTGTGGAGAAGGCATTGTAATGAAGAGCTATATTTAAATGAAAATATCTTAACTGATAATCGATACAACTTTATTCATCTGGACAGAGAGATGGTCAGAGGGTTGTCAGCACTGAGTTTCAGAACTGTAGTAACTCTCTTGAATCACTCAAACTCCAGGACCCTGATGACAGCTTCCTGTTCAGAGGTGGTCCCTGCAGACCTGGGGACGAACTGTGGTCACTGCCTATCTTTTCATAGTCTTCTGCTGCTTGATAGAATCTGAGAAATGATAGTAACAAGAATATTGAACATTATTTGCTAGTTCCTCCTCACTAAAAGTTCTTATATTGCAATTTGTGCCAAAGCAGGTATAAAATATTGGAAATATCTTCTAAGATTTAAAAAAAATATTGGCTATCAAACTTATCAAAAGTATATGTGAGAGCTCCCATCCATAAAATAATCTTTAAAAAAAAGAGTGCATGTTCTCAATTGTGCCTGTGGAATAAGGAAATGAGATTAGAGGTGTGGAATGGGAGTGTCCTCCTCTCTGGGCATCCCTATTACATGAACTTCCTTGATAGGAAAAGTCATGTTGATGAGCGGTAGAAGCCTGAAGGGGTTGTCTTCCTTATACTTTTATTCTTTAAGCTAAAATAAAATGCATTCTTTTTCAAGTTAAAAAATTACTTTTCATTCTGACTTAAAATTTGAAGTCAAAGCCTTCAGGTGCAGGAATGGTGTCCAGGACCATAGCCTGGGCATAACACAAAAGACAGTGAGTGAGAACATGTGTGAGTCCATATGCAGGATGGAGGGATGGACACATCTCTTGATTTGGATCAAATTGTGGTGCTCACATTACCCTCTTGGTTCATGTTGAAGATGAGGTCATGAAACTTCCAAAGATTTTTCAAACGAAATATTGATCACAGGGAGCTACATATAACCTCCTCTCTGGGGGACGGGCAGCAGAGGGGTGGGTGAAGGAGATGCGGGGCAGTGTAATATAAGATACAATAATAATTTATAAATTATCAAGGGTGCATGGGGGAGAGAGGAGGAGGAAGGGAGGGGGAGGGGGAAAAAAGCAAAGTGAGCTGATTCCGGGAACCCGGGAGGAAAGCGAATTTTGGGAATAATGAGGGCAACAAATGTATAGATGTGCTTTACACAATTGATCTATGTATTGTGATGAATTGTATGAGCCCC